ATCTCTTTCACTCTACTCAAAACTGAAATGCATAAAAAAAATGACAAAAATGATACACTCTTTGCACACTGTCAAAGAATCATTGTACACAAAATCAACTTTGTTCAAATCAAAACAAAAAAACTAACCCATCTGGTGGATGATGGCACAAGCTTCCAAGAAAATTCTATAACAGCGAACCACATTATTTTAATGGATTTCTTCGCCAGTTAGTCGTCTGTCACTTCGTTTGTGCTCTAAAGGCCCAAACGCAATGACAGCGGAAGCGGAACGGCAGTGACAGCGAAAAAGCCCGATCTGAATAAGCCTACTTGTCGGATTGAAAACTACTTAGTTAGAATCAAATCGACTTCGGTTAGGCATCTTGATGCCATTTGTGACAACTGTCAAACTTTCCGTTTCCGTTCCGCTTCCGTCCATATTGCATTTGGGCCTTAATGGTCCGCATTAGAAATACTCAGAGGGAGAGATAGGCGGAGAAAACAAAATACATTTCGGCAGCAGGGATTTCTTCCTAAATTATCTTGCAACCCTTATTGCTAAAAGCTAGTATTTCAAATGACTTTTATTTTTGATTCGATTTACGTGCAAAATAATAATTGATTGCATCGCAATATTTTGCACATTTCTTGTTGCCATTCATTAACCAACGAAGATCAATTAATCAATATAGTTAGAACACAGACAAACATACATAACACACGGAACCAAATTTTGTTCATTTAAGTTAAAAATATATATGTTTATTAAATAAAAATATGCATAGTTCAAAGTAAACTAAAAACATGTTTTCAACAAAAATATGTATGTTTAAAATATATTCAAAAGCATGTTTATTTCAACAATACATAATCTGGGTAATCAATTTTTAGCGTGTCCATTTTTCCTTCTTGTTTACATTCGGCAAACTTAACCGAAAACGGCCTGCAAGCGGCGAAACCGAAGTAGAAGGTCCGGAAACCCACGCAAGCAAATGTTCCAAGCTCGACAAAACCGGTGGAACATCACAATATTAACGTCAATCCGTCGTTTCTGATACCGATCCCCATATCATCCTCACCCCCCACCCGACGTCGAAAGAAAAACAGATCATCCCCGAACACTAAACTTAGAAAGAGGCCGGTATGAGAACCAGCGTCAGAAACGACAAAATGACGCTAATATCACAAAGTTTCACCAGTTTTACTGAACTGGATCGGATCGGACACCCACCCCGACGGCCTCCCGGATCCAAACATCCACAGACTTTCCATAATCGCAGGAATTTCCGAGGGAATTTCCATTAATTTGCTATCCATTTTATTTTGATTTATTCAGCATTCAAATGCTAAAATAATTTCAAAATATGTTTGTTTATTTTAAACATGAAAAGCATGTTTAAAATAAACATATTAATTTTTGATTGCATATAGTTTTCAGATAAATCAAAAATATTCACGTTTATTTTCAACACGAATATTTTTAAAATAAAAGTAACATTATTTTTGTTTTAAACATTATTATCAATGGATTCAAACTAGGATTCAAACGTAGAATATGTTTGAAATCAACATAATTTATGTTTGTGGCCAGAACAAACTGAGTTTACGTTTAAGTTTACCTCAAATATTTTTGTTTCGACGGTAAATTTTTCTGCGTGCACATTGAATATTTCTCACTGTAAAACCAACAATCAATACGAAACTAACGATTTTAAATTGGCTCACCACTTTAGTAGCCTATTGGTCCCAAGCAAACGATTAACGTACCCTATTCTAGTTGAAATTCTATTACTACACTATGTTTGTTTTGATTCGCTATGAAAGTTTGACAGATAACATCAGGGGTGTGTGGATTCATGCAGAACATGCAGGGGTGAGTGAAATAGCTTGGGACTGCTTGGGACCGTTGTTCTGGTACTGAGTGAGCCAAAAATAATAATGATTTTCTTCGGGACCCAGTGGTCTTAGAGTCTCGCTTAGAGTTACCTCTATGGTAAAACATCGTCGCTAAAACATTACCACCATGAGTACACTGTGGTGGTTAGTACGCTGAACAGATGGCGGTAGTGTAAACGTCAAACTCAAGGGAAATGACTATGAGCGACACAGGTGGCGGTACTACCAACTGCGATACTTTTAAATTGACCGTTATATGCTTGTTCGATGAACAACTTGCGAGTGTTATGTCTGTTTGTCTGTGGTTAGAATATTGTTTTTGGTTCCAAAAACTAGTTGAGTTTGAGTTGAGCACACAAAACATAAAGGTGATTGAATTTCTGTTCGATTGCAATACTCTCAAATTTATTCTAGTAAGAATAAGAAATTCTCGGAAAAATCTAATTGGAATGTTCGATTGACTCAGATTTTGACAGTTCATTTGGCTCAAAACATTCTCTCCGCCCATCTCTCCCCGATGTCAATCATACAAGGTCTGGAACAACAAGTAGCTTGCTGGTGTTAGAAGCAAAAATGTTGTAAACATTGCTGAGCAAGCGAATGCCGATGTCACGGCAGCACAACATTCCATACTGCGAATAGCAGACGTGTCATCACAGAAAACAGCTGTTTCTAGTAAAAAGATAAATATTGCGATGAAATACGACCACCACTAGACATTTTCACATTTCACTAATACCAATAAGCCGGTTGGGCCAGACCTTGTATAATTGACATCGATCCCTCCCTCTGAGTATTTCTAGTCCGCATATAGTCCTCTCCAGGCAGGTTCGTATTGGTGCGATGAGCGTGTGTTAGTGAGATGAAATTGCTCTTAGAGCAACCGTACCAATGAGTAAATAAGGCACATTTACCAACGTCTACCATAACGCTACTTGCGTACCGGAGGTTGCTATTCAGGTGGGGGAAATAGCAATCCGCACCTTGGGAAGTACACGCTAACTCCAGAGTACCCATTAAGTGAGTATCTTGTACTCATTTTTTGAACTGGTTCTAAAATGTCAAAAAATGATTATTTTCGTAATATTGAAAAATGTGTACTTTTCCCCCTTTTTTTAAAACATGTTCTGCAATAAAAATGAGTAAACATTATTCATAATTGATTCAGTGCGAAGTGACGCCATTTTTAAAAATGCAGAAGGCAGGCGCAACGTGGAAGTATAAATCGTCAAATATATTGTTTAAACTTTTTATTGCACTTCTAGCACAGACAAACAGACATAACACTCGCAAGTTGTTCATCGAACAAGCATTTAACGGACAATTTAAAAGCATCGTAGTTGGTAGTACCGCCACTAGTGGCGCGCATAGTCAATCCCCTTGCGTCTGACGTTTAAACACTACCGCCATCTGTTCAGCGTAGTGCCCACCACAGTGTACTCAACAGATGGCGGTAATGTTTTAACGACGATGTTTTACAGTGAGAAATACTCAATGTGTTATGTCTGTTTGTCTGTGCTTCTAGGATACATAATCTTCCCTGGCCGAGCAACTTGCAAGATACGTTGCGTATACGGTTGAGAAAGGTGCACCTGTAGCACCACATCGTTGTCACAACTAAATTTAATCTCCAGAGACGAACCAGCCAATGGCCGAGCCAGTTTCTTTAATAAAGTAACTAGTAAAGTAACCTAATCAATTTTAAATGGAATTTTGACGTGTTTATGATTGATGATAATGAGCCCTATAAAGATTTTTTTTTCTAAAAATGGGTACTGTGTACACATTACCGAAAAAGTACGATGATTCAAAATTACCCATTTTATGAAGTACTCGTCAAATACTCATTAATAAGTAAAGTTGGTTTTACTCATTTCATGAGTTAAGCCACTTTTTTCTAAATTACTGATTACCAATTCACGATATATATCACGTAAAGTTGAGCGATAATACAAAACCATTAATGGACCTTACTGACTACCATAACCATAACCATTAATGTTCTCAAACCATAAGTAAAAACGTTCTAATCTAGTTCTCTTTCCGAAAATGTATGGAGAAAACAAGAATTTGGAATGGTAATGGTTCTTAACAACCCATTATTTGTAAGGTCCGCTTCCAAAAAACCATAATACATAAGGTTAAAACTTTATCACACAAACGTTCATGTAAAGTTCCATAACCATTTCAGTTGAAGTTTAGCAGGGATTATAAACAATTTATAACCATTATCGGTAAGGTCATGTGATGGTTCGCGTTTATGCGGGATAGTTTACCCATTAAATGAGGAGGGGCACTTTTAGCGGAAATGGGTATTTTTTTTACCCATTAATGGGTATTCACGAAACACCGTGTACACGCTGTATCCAGCTGTCAAAAAATGGGGGAATTTTGAAATCATAAAATGGGTGAAAAAATACCCATTTAAAGAATCAGTTCACGGTTGAATAATGGGTATATTTTTTACCCATTAATGGGTGAAAAAACACTTCGAAATTTTATCGTCTCATTTCCGTCACCGGCTCATTGGGAATGCAAACCTCGATGCTAACAGTTACTGTCCGCAGCAACGATCTCCGGAAAATGTTAGAATCCAAAACGTTGGAGAGGCTTACGGATAAGTCAATACAATGGATAATTTGTATTATAATGTTTCGTGAAAAATTTGAGCGGAACACCTGCATTTATTGTCAATGTTTTAAAAACATTTTTACATCAACGAGCGCTTGCATCCTCCATTTGTAAAAATGGGTATTTTTTCACCCATTTTACGGTAAACACAATATAAGAAAATGGGTGAAAAAACACCCATTTATTGACAGACCACCCATTTACCCATTTATGAGTAAACCATAGTTTACCCATTAAATGAGGAGGGGCACTTTTAGCGGAAATGGGTATTTTTATACCCATTAATGGGTTTTCGCGAAACACCGTGTAAGGTTTAAATGCAATTTGACAGCGTCACACTGACAGTGACAGCAGCGTGAATTTGTTTGCTTCATGGGCAACAGAATCGATTTACGCCTGTGTGCGTGTCATCATCACTCTTTTCAGCGCACGCTTCATCGCTTCGCTTTGCTTGGGTCGTCGGTCGTCGGTCGCTATTTCGCTCACTCACATCTCGCAAAACATCATCCACCATTCATTCGTTCGTCGCCGTGTCTGCGGTCCAAACGTCGCGTCGTTGTGCATCCGTCGTCTGTTCGTGTGATTTTTTGGTGGAGATTATTGCTTTTAAAGTGCGCACTGCTGTGCTGTGGGGCTGCTGCCCTCCCACTGTTCTGGAAAATAATAAAGTCTGAAGATTTGGTGCCGGAAAAATCGGTTTTTCATTTCGAGTGGCAGTGTGTTCCACGGATGTTAGTGCAATGAAAAAGCAGCCATCGGAGGGAGTAGTGTTGTGTTGATTGTGATGGGAAAAATGGCAACAAGGAAAAAATAAAGTTTCCCTCTTGAGACCCGGAGCTTTCGGTTGATGCTACTTTCTCGTATTTTGTGCTACCCGGAGGAAGCTTGTTAAATTTCGTGAAAACGGTAGTTTCGTCGACGGAAGAAAATTGGATTTCCAGTGTCTGGGAGTGTTTGGTGCAAGTTTGTTGTGCAAAAGACGAACTCCTCCCCAGGGGTGAAAGAAGAAAAAAAAGACCCTATCCACTTCGGGATATCGAAATTTTGCGGCCATCTTTCCATCGTCGCTGTTGCCCTGCCTGCTGCGTACGTGTGCTCCGCAGCACCAGAGGAGTGCGAAGCGAAGAGGAACATTCGGATTTGGAGTGGCTGCTCAGTGTGAATGTGTGAGTGCGCATTCTGCGGTGGTGTGTGCGTATATTTTTGGGTGGTGGAAATTTTTTTCGTGGAAAACCCAAAGTAGGCCACCCTCCGGTGGAAGCGAATCTACGCCATTGGTGGAGAAAAAAAAACAAAAAAAAAAGGCACGACAAACCTTGAAGGTTGTTGAAGGGAGTCTGAATAAAACATCGATTGAGTGTTTTTGCTGGTGTTAATGCGTGCGTCTAGCTGAAGTGGAAAAGAATCAATAATCAATTTGGATTAAGTTTTTATCATTATTGAAGAAAATATACGAAATAGAAGAATGTCTTCGCAAACTACTTCGACTCCAATAGCAACTGGGTCCGGCACTTCTGCTGCTGCTCTTGCGGCAGCGGCCGCGGCCGCTACCGGGACAAACATGGAGACCGACGATCTGGTTGATCCGATGAATGACTTCCTGCCGCTGCTGCCGGAGAACATCAAGCAGGAGCTGTTCGAAGGAACCGACAAGGGCACGGCCAATCCGTGTGATAGCGCTGATAATAAGGTAGGTAGCGCTTGTTTGCGGGGGATGCACCGGATGACATTGAAGTTGCTAACATTCTCGGTCAAAGCTGCTAGATTTATGATCGCGCTTCCTAGGAAAGGAAGCTAATGGCAGGAGATAATCCGATCGGCTTATTTGCAGACTTGCAACTAATTCAACGGAGGAAGCATGTAACATGCGGGGTTAGATACTACTTCATATTAAGACGATATAAAAAAAAAACCCTATAACGATACCAGCATAGTATCGAACGATAATCGACAGTACCTTTCTTATTATGATTAGGAGGTGAGCGCTCAAATTTGACCGAACGATGCCCTGAAACGTGATGAATCCACATGCAAAAAATGGTCACTCAAAGACTACATTCACCCCATTGACGATAATAGATCATGGTAGGGTAGAGTTCTACTTCGTCATAATCACCTTTTTTGCGTTCTATCGATCTGTAAATACTATTGTTTAAACAAGATAGAACGCTAGGGATCGAATGAACGTTGAGCGACCAAGTTCCACATAATCAGTGGGCATATATTGGTCCCACTTGAATGCATGACGAGCTGCGCTGTTTGTAAACAGAACGTTCACCGAAACGGACAAAGAACAATATGACTGCCAATGACGATTTGTCACTAAGAGAACACCGGTTTTCGCACCCGGCTCGTGGCTGTCCTTTTGCCGACCACACTTGCATGAATTATAAACACACAAGAATGGATAATGTTCCTGCGATAAATATTCCTTATGGAAGAAACCCGTGCATCCAAAGTCGAAGGTACATGGTCGACACGGTTCGTAACTTCGGCACAAGGAAAGTTGTTTAGTTGTTACCCTGAACGTTGTCGAGTTCAAGCGCCAACACGATTCTGCGCCCAACATCACTGTCATTTCGGAACGGACATAGAACATCAACAATTCAAGTCATTGTAGAGCCAGCACAGCTTCCGGTGACGGTCTCAAAAATAGTGAAGTTCTGGACGGATATCGCAATCGGTCACATCAAAAAAGATTACAGACCTTTTCGAGCGAGAACACGCAATCCTCTTCTGAAGAAGCAATGTCAGCAATCCCAAGGGGTTAGTCACTCCGCACAGTGTGTCGAAATCAGATTTGGGCACTAATTGGTACAGTTCGGCACCCACGTAAGAAACATTCATAAGATACTGGCAACACTGTACGTGTTCAGCGCATGTATAAAATCAATGTTATTGCATTTTGAAACGCAACCTATATGTTTCGCTTAGTTGTCCAAAACCTAGTTGGATTCCCCCCGAGCATCCCCAACATTGCACATCCTAATGCCTGTCCGAAACAGTAATTCATTCCACGCAATGCAGACCAAAAGCAGTGTAATTGATAATGATCAACATCGCATGTATAATTACACTTCACTCAATCAATCCCAAATTCCAAAAGGCACCGGATATGATATGAAAAAATGCCAAAATTATGTTCGTTTCTCTGTAGTTTTGTGTGGGAGATGCAAAACGACCTAGGAAGGAATAAGGAAGATAAACGGCTTGTCACTACTAGGTACTCTGTATTGTTTCGGATATGCTAGTTTTAGTTGGCTTGTATTGCACTGTGGCTGCGGGATTCTGGCTTTCGCCGACTGTCCCTCCACGGGCATATGATCATTCCGGTGGCACTGAAGTGACGGTCGCTGAATACTGGAGTGGTGGTGAAAGGCAACATAGGTGAACACAACTGCAAGTGGACTCATTTTTCAGCATTTTTTAATGCATCCATCTACCTGCCGGTGGCACCACTGACGAACACTTTCTTTGCATTCCTCAGTAGGTACAAGGCCTTGGCCACCTCAAACCGTGTATCCACGTTGTGCTGGTTCGATGCCATCTGATCTCCGTAGCCGATTTCGATTCCCGAAAGAGTTACGGCGATTTCAACATTCGCAGCAGCTTTCCCCAGCGGCTGTAAATTCCGAATGCCATCAGATACGTTTCGATACTGTCTAAGGTTTGGAATTCCATCACCATTTCAAGGGGATCATCCAATCGGGTCAGTTTGTCCAGCCCCTGGATCATCGCAGGGTGTCCATCCAACCGGGAAAAATACGGGAAAACACAAATCGCACCGGGAAAATCATATACATATATTTATCCTAAGTAGCATTTTTTTAAATATCATAGTCTTTTAGACCATAATATGGTTTTGAAGAATCGTGAAGAATCTTTATAAAACTTGCAATGTTACATGGAATCAATCAATTTTACATAATTATATTATTTTGTTTACAACTTTCATATTATGTCTTTCATTGTGATAAAGTATCAAAAATCTTCAAAATTACAAAAAAATCTATTCTTTTCTTTCACAATCTGTTAGCGCACGGGGTAAACGGTGATTTTGCCGTGTGTTTGGTTTCATTGGAAGAAATATGCTTGAATTCTTTTGCTACAGTTTTCTGAGTGAAGTAGTTCTAAAGCCTGAGCCAGACATACTATAACTTGTTACGAAGATACTTGAAGATAGAAAAGCACCCAAGTAACATTGAAAGTTTTATCGAGGTTTTAAAGCATGCTACAAGTTTAAATCATGGTGTACAGAACCCTCATAAAACCAAAACTGTTACTTGGGCAGATTCAAGCCATTAAAAGAAAGACCGATCTAAAACTCCTTGCATACCCGATCATGCTTGGCATGCAAATGTTCGACACCGGACACAATCAACGAAATTTTAAACTCATGAAATGATTGGTCTAGAGATAAATTAAAAATAATGTCTGCATTTGTGTTAACCAGGTACACAAGATTAGTCAGGACATCGTAGAATACCTTGGTTAGTCTGTAAAACATAAAGATCTGAATATATACCTCTCGCGCTAATCTAATAAATCGTCCAGCTGACTTTAATAATAATAAATAAAAAAGATCTGAACTCCAGGCATTTTGGAAAACCTAATAATAAAAACCAATGATATTATGGGGCTTCTATAATTAAGTCTAATCATCGTATACCTTGTTGAGTCTGCAGAACTTCAAGATCAGATATCAGGGATTTTTTTTTTTTTTTTTTATTAATTCTTTATTAAAGAGATTTTTAGCCTTAGGCTAGTTCATCTCTAAACATATATCCGGGATGATTTTGATAATCCAACAATGTTTTGACGTAGAACTACGTCTTTGTCGACTATACTGGGGTACAAATCAAAAAATATGTGTGGTGAAATAGTGTTAGGTTTTAAACGCTTGTAACTTTGTCATTTATAGATGAAATTAAAATTCAAATACGCCAGTCGATAGGATATTACTTAACAAATCTGCTGAAATAAATACTTTTCCAATTTTTAATCAAAAAACTATTGAAACATGCGCAAATGATAATTTTATCCCTGTTTTCATGAACTAAACATTTTCCCCAAACCCAGTCATCATAAACGAATACCACTTGGTTGCACATCATTCTTATTGGACCTGAAAAGATATAAACCAGCGTTGCTTTCCTGACTCTGCTCATTACCGCTTCGGACGGCGTGGCACTAAGTCTTGCTGCAGGACCAAGTCAACGGCTAAAAGTGGATCACGGCGTGACCATGACCACCACAATGAGGAATGAGACTTGGAAAGTTATGTATGTAAAACCCTCTCCTCCCCTTAACAAAAACCTCTCCCTCCATTAACAACAACCTCTCCCTCCATTAACAACAACCTCTACCCCTCTACAACCCGAAAAAGTCATGGACTTTGACGATCACTTATTTCCAGGAAATAAATTTTAAGCAAACCACAAATTCATTAACTACGTAGACAGCTTTTTGCGATTCTCGATCAACTATGAAATGTTGCATAACATTGATGCAAAATTGTGCACTCCGTTTTTGGGTGTGCATTTATTTTTAGCGTTTTGAAGTTGAATCGCTGAGGATCAATCTCATTACCATAGAAAAATATCAAGAGAACAGATATCAGCTCTCACAAAACTTATAACAAAGAAACTTGAACTTCACGTTTGTTGCAGTTCAGTACACAAGGAGTTTCAATTTCATGAGTGATGTCACAACCATCCAAGATTTATGTCCTAGAAATCTTCAAGTGATAGGAAATATCAGCCATCATGCCATTGTTGGACGCTTCAATGAATCACTTGAAGAAAGGCTTACTCATATCTGATTGTAATTCAGGAACCAAATGAAACAGAATATTTATGTATTCGCATTTTTATGAGGTCCTGAAATTAACTAAGTTTTACTAAGAAGAAATCCAAAATATGTACATAGGCTAAAAATCATAAGCTACTTCTACTGTATTTTAAATTAATATCTAGAAAAAATGCACGAGAATTTCACTACACAGCTTAACGTAGTCTACGCCAACCCTGCGGTCATGTCTTGTACACAACCCCACCAATTTTTGTAGAATAAGTTTTCCTAATTTATTGTTTTTAGAGGTATCACAAATTAATCGAAGACCAAACCCCAATCTTTTTTCCTCTGATCGGGATCTAAAACCACTGCGACCAGTAATTTGATCTATTGTAGTATATCCCGTATCCTTAGTTTAGTACATGTCGTATTACTCCATCACTATTGAGAAATGATGAAGTATTCGGTTTAGATACAGTTGTCATTCTCGCATTTATCGCAAGGATCCGATCTAATTGAAAGATCCCGCTTTTTATACCATTTGGAGTGTTGAAACACCCTCCAAAGGCGTGCCCCTTTGTCAGTCAAAATCGGATTCCTTAGCAATAAAATTAAGGAATGACACCGATAATGACCATGCATCAGAACCCTAGTCTTAACCACTTCAAACTAGGGAACAACGAATAGAAGATTAGGAATCACATAGATGAAGACTTACAACCCGTAACGTACCACGAAAAGATGATCTACCTTCGTTACAGGGCGAATTCATAGGTTGATCCGACCCAAGGTTGATTAGAACCGCTTGTGGGACGTACTTTCCTCCGGTAACGGGAGTCTGAATAACGACTTCAATAACGGAGCTGGAGCCAGTAGTGTTGAGATTGATTGAGTGGT